TTCGTTAAGAAAAAAATGGAAAGATTTTAGCAGATGAGAGTATCAACACTCCGATCCAATAGTGGTATTGCCTATATAAATTGATTTGTATCCAAAAGCAAAAGAATTCCATAATATCATCTTAATCAATAGATTAAATAAGAAGAAAATATTTTATTAAAATCGTATGAGAAGTAAACTTAATCATAAACCAACACATTAATCACGATTGATATGGAGATTGATCTGGTGCATCTCATCCTAATGTACATCCAAATGTGAAGTTCTCTTTTTACGTTTCTCACTTTAACTCTTTCTCACTGAAACCCAACCCATCAGATTCTTCTAGCATATATGCGAGCCACCATGGCCGTATTGGCGCAACCATGGTTGTTGGTGGTTAGGGAGTTCCATATCTAATGGTTTTAATTGGTTCCCCATGGCTTTCTACAAATCTACCACCAACCAAGAATCATGCTTGGTCTCAACAATAGAGAACACAACCACCATTAATCAGATTCTCATCTAACCCTTAAAAGGCTGCTAGTAATTGAAACTTCCAACAAGTCAGGGAGGGACCTTGGTTATGTTGTTCGTAGGGGTGGATTCAATAACTTATTTGAATAAGTACACCTCGTGTTCAATGAAGATATCGGATGATCGTTTGTTTAAGGGACCAAATTCAGACAAACTGCATAGCTAGAGTGTTCTTTTTGTAATAAATGAATATAAAAGATTAGTTTAGTAACAAATAACATACCTCAAGGACCAAATATGTAATTTAATCTAAAAATTATGAGTGCCTTTGCGGTCCAATGGTCATTGGGGTTTTAATTTTTGTACGGTGGACGGAGTTTTTTTTTTCCACAACTTTTATGAAATATCTCACCGTCACACAAAAAAAACGTTGGACCAATCATCACATAACCTAATTTTTCACTTTACTACATTTATTTATCTATTTTATTGAACACTAATATATATAAATATATATATATATATATATGAAAAGGTTCAAACGAGAACTCCTATGATTTACGAGAATGCAAAAACAATTTATTAACCCCATATTGTGATAACAATTAAAATTAAAATATTTTTTAAATTAAATTTGAAATTTAAAACGATTCAAAAAAAATTTGAGATTCGAAAGGGTAATAACGGAAATCAAAATCATACAATTTATCATAACGATTACAGACGAAATCGACTAAACGATTTGGTGTGATATGAGTGTGATAATCATGTGATATTACTATCATAACAGCGCACTCGATTTGATCATGGTTTCGATTGCATATGTTATTTCATCTTATTATAAGACGATTTTGTATAAAATATTTATAAGAAGGGACCATCTTCTCATCACTATCAACTTCCACCAACACCACCGACCACTGTCATTGAAAAACATCAAAGGGCTTATGCAATGTTTAGTTTATACTATTAAATAAAAACAAATCTATGTGTATAATTGTTATATGTATTAAGGCCCAAAATTCCAAAAGCCCAAGGGCCCAATACATCTTTTTTATTTAATAGTATAAACTATAAAGTAAACTAAACATATGTGTCAAGGCCCAAATTTTCTTTTACTTTTCTTTTTCTAATAAAGAGAAAGAGAAAGGAAAAAAAAATCTAAGGGGCTATTTACTAAACGTTTATTCAGTAGGTGTTTACCGGACAATTTTCCTCACCGGACGAACATGGCAAGACCCAAGAATCTTACATGGTAAGAGCGATGATAAGGATAGAGAGTCTTACCCGGTAAGTGAGGTTGTCGACTATTACCCGGGTAAGCGCTTACCAGATATATTGTTGCATACAATACCATTTTGACATACTACAATCTTACCCAAAAAATAAATTATAGTATTGGCTTTTAACGGTAAGCACTTACCGGATAAACATTTAGGTAAACAGCCTCTAATTCTCCCAAGTTTTTTGTGCGTAAATTATATGGTTGATCTTTGTGTTTTTTATATATTAAAATGTTTCCAAGTCTTTTTTGAGATAATTACGGATTTAAAATAAAAAAAATTTCTTTAGAAGAAAGATCTGATTTGGTTGAAAATGACAGACAGTTCTAGGAATGAGTAATTATTACACTTTTATAATAACTAAATGACACTTTTTACACTTGATAATAGAGAGAAAAGCTTTCCCATCTAATAATTGAGGGTAAAATGGGAAATCAAAAACTTACTTTTGGAAGTGGACATTTATTTTGAAACAAACTAAAATAATACTGCTACTTTTCCTAGTGCCTTTGGATTTCACACAACACTGCGTTTTTCATATTAGAAGTGCATTCATGCATCTTGAAGCAAAAAATCCCGACCCATAATCAACCATGATTCACAATTGGTTCAAATTCTCCGTCTCTCGTGATTTTATTTATGGTTTTGAGAAAATGATAGAATATTGATTGGTCCACAATTGAGGTTTTTATAAAAACCACATTTTTCATTTTTTTTAAATTTATAAAATATAATTTCATTTGTAGATTATTATATAAATTTAATATATATAAAATCATATATAATTTATTAATTTACTTTTCAACATTAATTTTCATTTGTTAA